ACAGCTGGACTCTCGCCCTTCTCTCCAATGCCATGTAGTGATAAGTGCAGGTTTGCTGCAGTTGCTGCAATGTTCCATAGTAGAGTTTGTTGTCAATGTTAGGTCTCTGAGAGAGAAGGGTAGCTCTGATGTCATTTAGGGCTGTGCAGTGGAACATGTGATTTTAGTAAGTTACTGTGACAACTTTCCCCAGTTAGGAACAAACCTGTTTCATCAAAAATTATAAACCAATGTACAAAAGTGTTTAAAATGCACAGAAAATTGAGGTAGCCAACCTGGGACCGGTGCTAATAATGAGGATAGTTTGCCATTTACAACAAAAAAAGTTTCTTTCAGATATCTTGGTTCTAGATAATATTAGTGTTTCGCATGATCCTAGGTCGTGACAAGCAGGAAAAGGATAAACTGGAGTATTGAATACGGAGCGTTTGGGGGGGGGGAGGGGGCGCAAATAGGAGAGGAGAAAGGATGCTCCCCTGGGGGACACCTTCCTCCTGTTGGTGAGGGTCTGAAAGGGAGGATCCGACACGAACCTGGAAGGAACGGTTCTTCATGAAATTGCCAACGAAGGCAGGGAGGTGACCGCGTATGCCGAGAGCGTGCAGGTCTCTGAGAATGCCGTACTTCAAGAACCATTAGAAAAAGATAATTGAGATTCTTTGGTAATATAAATAGATCAAATGGAATAGAGAAATTGCTGCTGTGTGGGATAACGGAGGGAAATATAGGCAGAGGAAGACAAAGAATAACATACACTGATGGCCTGAACAACTATGCAATGAATAACACAAAGAGAAAAACTGTGCTGCTCAAGAAGACCTACAGTAGAAAGGAATTGGGGGACACCTGAAGAAAAAGATACGACATACAAATCAATGTGACGACACACAAATAAATGTGATGGATTTTATCTATTTTGATGTCCATTTATTATAGTTTCATTGCATCATGGACCCTACAATGTAGGGCTTGAAAAATAGAATGTAGACTCATTATACTGCTTCACTCCACGGAAATCTTTAGTAAAAGGCGAAAGATTTATTCGTTGTGAAGAAAAACCAGAGTGTTCTAGACACTTTAAAATTTCTTCATTGGCCAAATTAAACGCATTCTTCAACATATGGTACAGTATCAATATTGTCCCGACTAATGAATTGTGAAATATTAATTTCTTTTTCCTTATTTCCAAGCTTTGGGAAGATAAAATATCAGTTCTAGTACCGATATTCGAAGGGATATTTTCTCAGAGTTTGTTTAAAGTGAAGAGAAAACTCCCACAAATGCACATTCGTCCAAAGGTAGAACATTTGTCTCCCTTTACACAAGCAGTCCACGGAGGTCGATTCCCTTGAATACTTAGTACAAAGAATAATAAAACTGAAATTTGATTAAGCTTGTTGATTTCAAAATATGACTTGGGGAAAAGAGAAAAGAAAGCAAGAGTGTGTTCACAGCCGATTAAGTTACAATTGTGATCCAACATTTATAAACTCCCTAGAAATCAGCTCCAGTTCTTTTCCTTATTCATCTGTGATTGAAAATAGCGGGCGGTTATGGAATGTTACTGGTAGGTCCAGATTCTTTTTTTTATGCCCCACCTTGTTTTTGTCCGACTGTCTTACTTTTTGTCCTCACTTAATGACCATTATAGTTTCGACGTACTTTTCTTTACTGTAATAAAACAAAGGAACAAATCGAAATCAATTTTTTTTTAAAGAATTTGTTTTTAAATGTGGCAGAAAGGCATGGTAAGCAAGCCTTTACACCCCCGTCCCCCTTACACACACACACACACACACACACA